CCCGCCCACAGGCCGCGCAGTCCCTCCACCCAGCTAGGTTCGGGGAGCCGGGCGCCCCCAGCTGGACGCACCCAGGGCGGAGGGCGGGCTGAGGCTGGGGCTGGGGTCCCAAGCACCCACTGCTGTCTCGAACTCTGCGTGCGGATAGATGGTGGAAGGAACAAAAGGTCAGATTGGTTGGTTATAGGTTTTTACTGCGCAGAGGACTCGTGAGTGCGGAGCCAGTGAACGAAGGGGCTTCACATATTCGCGTGCTTTCTTTACTCGCCAGCACAACTCCCAGGCCAACCCTGGTTCAGAACTCCTGGGGCGGTAAAAACCTGCACCAAGGCAGCCTAGGCGTGTCTGGAGACTTGCGGAACAGCTTTATGTTGTTAACACGTGTAGGATAAAAGAGTGTGAACGCTGATTACCCACCAGTGTAATAGATGGGTAATTGGGGCCCAGAGAGCAGAAGTGAGTCACCCTAACTCATTGGGGGCATTTAGTGGCAGAGCCAGTATCAGAATTTGCGCTTGGAGCATCCCCTTCCATACCTCTGGAATCTCCTTTGATTCTGGAGAGGAAATGTCATACAATTAAAAGTATTAGTGAATCCCAAAATTGAGAAATTAATAAGAGTTTAAAACACTGATGTTACCTCTGTAACAGCTGCATGTGTATTGTGTGCCTGCGACGTTTCTGTGCCTTTGAACTTGCTGACTCTTCAGTGATACTGTTCTGCTTTCAGAATTTTCTTTCAGGTTAATGAACTCAGAGCATCACGTTCATGTGCCTGCGATACTGCTTTGGGTTTGAAAAAGGAAGATCCTAGACTTTGAACAAAATATAGTACATAAAGCCAAAGTTTTGTCACCCCTTTTTTTTTTTTTTTTTTGCAACAATTTGCACATGGTTTGCACAGCTCCAAACAGTTTGAGAATGACTGTGTTCTTCCCTTGGTGGAGGCAAGGGTTCTGGAAAAGAATATGTATCTAGGTAAGAAAGGTCAGGAGGGAAATCTTGGAAAGTGTGGGAGTACTCTGCCTTCATACCTCCCAAAGAGATTTTGCCGTTAAAATGTTTCTGGATTATTCTAAGGTGAGGACAAAAGCATTTTGAAAAAATTGGAGGAAAAGCTGCCACTGGGAGATCTAATCCAGAAGTTGGCCAAGGCTGGCCAGGCAGAGCAGCTGCCTGAGTCAGTGACAGCTGCAAGGAGAATGCTGAGCACCTCATCCCTTCCCTCTTGGAGACCAGCCTGAGGCCTGCTTGCTGAATCAGACAATTTACCTCTCTTTGCCTCAGCTACTCTTCCCCTTTGCTCACAAATACTCCTTGTCCACAGAGCCAGGCCCTGAAAGCATGGAGGTCAGCAGTATCCTGGCTTGGAAGAGTGGGGATAAGGTGGTGGTGAGGAAGAAAGGGAGTTTGAAGCTGTCTCCTTTCTCAGCCTAACAGGACAGCTGGTTAGCTTACTCTGTACCCATTAACTCATTCACCTTACTCACATTTGGTGGAAGGAGAGGTTGACCCACTTGTGTAACAAGACAACCTGCACCCAAAACCTCCTTTTCACTGGCCACAGAGCCATTCTTGGCTACTGTTCTGGATTAAAGCAGAAATCTCCAAGCAGTAGATTAGGATCAGCCCTGGACCCTGACTAGTAAAGAGACTATTTTTAAATCTGAGATAGCAACCATGATTTTTTAATTCTTTAGTTCCTTTTGCTCGTTACTTTGGTCATTTTGTAAGCAGCCATTGTGGTTGCCCCCAACATCCATCCCACCCTTCCCCTCTGTAATGCAAGGTACAGTTGAGGTAAGTTTGCCCCCACTCTTAGCTCTAATTGGTCTAAGTCAGTAGTTCTCAAAGTATGGTCCATGGACCTCTCTGGTGGTCCCTGAGGATCTTTCAGGGAATCTCCCAAGTCAAAATTATTTCGTAATAATCTAAAATATTACTTACTTTCTCACTGATGGTACAAAAGCAAAGATGTACAAAACTTCACAAATCAAGGTAGTGGAACCAAACTGTACTAATATCCTCCACCACCATGTTTTAAAGGTAAAAAAAAAAAAAAAAATACAGTTTCACTTAAGAATGTTCTTGATGGAGCAGTAAAATCTATTAACTTTATTAAAATCTCAATCTTTGAATATGTGTTTAATATATGACAAAATGAAAACCACATAAAACACTTTTGCTACAAACTGAAGTATGTTGGTTGTCTAAGAAGAAGCATTTGTGTAATCGCTTGCATTGCAAGCTGATCTAGCTGTTTTATTTCATGAAACAGCGTTTTTACTTGATAAAACAATTGACAAATTATGGTTATTTCAACTTAGGTTTTTTCTTGAAAATGAACTGAGTGAACCTGTCTGTTCAAGGAAAACAGTCAACTATTTATTAACAATGATGAAAAAATTCCAGCTTTCAGAAGAAATTTAGAATTTTGGGAAACATATCGTCATGAGTTTGACAGCTTCTCAATATTTAAGGACCTTTTTTGATAGGATCAATAGTGATATTAATGAATGTGATTTTTGAATATTGGATAATGTATAATATTTCGAAATTTGGAAGACCTGAATTTACTCAGTGAATCAGTGTGTTCCAAGTGGCTAATGCATGACGTTACAAAATCATTAATTAAAAATACAAGGCAGACAATGGATTTTAATTTAATAATATTAAAAGTTTATAGATAAGGTTTTAGATTCCATAGTGTAACAAACTTTTATGAAATTACCTCTTGTAAAGTTTTGGTGTAGTATCAAAGAGGAATATCCACAATTTTCTTAAAAAATCTATTAAAATACTTCCTCCTTTTCCAATTACATATTACTGTGAATCAGATTTTCTTCACGTACTTTAACCAAGCAATATGCAACAGATTGAAAGCAGAAGCAGATATGAAAATTCGATTGTCTTCTATTAACCCAATCTTAAAGAGAATTTAATTTTTAATTTGGCAAATATCAATAGATAAAGCCTCTATTAAAAAGATACTTTGGGATCTTCAGTAATTTTTAAGAGTATAAAGGGGTCTTAAGACCAGAGTTTGAGACTAAGCCAAAAAAGCTGGTCCAAACCACCCAGAGTCCTCTCATCCTCCTTACCACTAGGATTGGTTCATGGGTGGCCATAGGAACCAGAGTGATCCAATGACAGGAAATCTCAGGAATTTATTGGATGGTGGGAGAGAGATGCTTTCATTTCCTGCTAGACAGGAGCCAGGCAGTAACTTCAAAAGCTGCTGATTAGGTAGCTATTTTAGACTACAGGAAGAGCTTATCTTAGGAAGAGAATAATGCTATGGGAAGCAGAGAGAGAGGTTAGAAAGAAACCATTTCCTTTATGACATTTTTAAACCGCCAGATCAGACCAGCTCTGCAGCCCATCTTACTGCTATACATGCCAGTTTGACAAGCCAATGAATTCTATTGCGGATTAAACTAGGTACCCTTAAGTGCCCTAATTGATGCATTTTGGACCTTTTCGTGCATATTTTCACCTAAACAAGTACCTAATGTCTCAGATAATATATTTCTAGGGTTTACTCATTCAGCCATTATCATTATCACAATACAAATTAGCTTCTGAAGTAAAGTTGGAAGGCAGAGCAGCAGGGTCTGTGAGGACAGGAACCTAGCACAGAGGGGTCAAAAGTGCTGACATTTTTGAGAGCAGTAAGGAACAGTGGCATATAATCTTGAACAGCAAGATTATAGCAGATTTTAAATTTTCTTTGCTTATGTATTTCACAAAATGGACAACAGGAGCATGTACTGCTTTTTTTTTTAAGGAAAACCTATATTATTTTTTAATAGTCCACTGAATAGGAGCACAGGCTTAGAAGCAGGTTGGGATTGGGAAATGGCAAGAGAACTCTTGGGCTAAAATTGCTAGCAAGGAAGAAAGTTATTTTTTAATAGTCCACTGAATAGGAGCACAGGCTTAGAAGCAGGTTGGGATTGGGAAATGGCAAGAGAACTCTTGGGCTAAAATTGGTAGCATGGAAGAAAG